AAAATTAAACCTTCTGCAAAAAGACCATTCTGTGGTTACAGAAGTTGGGCAAGCCCTGAAGGGCAACATAAGATAGAAAAGCACTACAATCAGGGGTAGAGTGAGTGCCTCTACTGAGGGTAGCCTAGGAGCCATCATGGAACAGTTGGCAATTAAGCAGGAACTTCAGCAAACTGTCACCTGAATGGCCTCAAGAACTTTTAATGAAGACAAAAGAAAGAGCTGAGCCTAGCATGCACAAGGCCCTGGGCTCGATCCCCAGTACATAAAAATCAAAGTCCCTGTACATGTTAGGCTATCACTGAGCCACATTTCCCACCCTGTATTGTTATTTTTTTAAAAAAGATTTGTTTTTAGTTGTATGCTATGCACATGAGTACAGGTGTCGTGGAGCCAGAAGGGGGCATCTAATCCCATGGAGCTGGATTTTAGGCAATTGTGAGGTACCTGATTTGGGTGCTAGGAACCAAACCACTGAGCCATCTCTCCAGCCCTGCACTTCGTTTTTAAAACAGGTCAGTTTCCCACCATTCCTCCAGGGTGACTTATGCGGTACTGCTTTGTTTTTAATTTTCTGAGATTTGAAATGTTTCAGTTCTTTGTGACTTTTTTAAAACTCAGATTATGCCATTCTTACCAAATGGAAGCTTCTCCAAGTTAGCCCTGAATGTCTTAGCCATATAGTAACAGTCATGTATTCAATAGTTTCCTTTCTTTCTGACCTGATGAGTTCTTGCAGGTTTCTTGTACTTGCCATCCAGACTTGGAATTGGTCATTGCTTCAAGGAGCTTTGGCTCCTTTTGGCAGGAAATATATTTAGAGCTCTCAATCTGGGCACTGGGACTATTTATTGCAACTTCTTTGATTTTCCTTTTTAAGATAAGATACAACAAGAGTTCCTATCAGTAATTCCAATTCAGTCAAAAGATTGCAAGGTTTTTAACTTAAAGCCATTGATTTTTTTTCTTTTTGCCCCTTACTTTTACCAGAAACCTAGGTACTGAACGGTGATGTCTCACACCTGTAATCCCAGTGCTTGGGAGACTGAAGCATGACTGCTGTGAGTTTGAGGCAAGCCTGAGTCACAGTAAGACCTTGTTTAAAAAACTCAAATACTTGGTGCCAATGAGCTCCCCAACACCAGCATTCCTGTGTGCAGTAGCCTCTCTTGTCTGTGGGGCATATGCTCCAGGACTTCCCAGCAGACATTGGAAACCATGGATAATACTAAATCCTATGTACACTAAGGCACAGAAAAGAATTAGCAGCAATAAAGCAGAATGGTTATATTCTAATGAAAACTGGGTGGATGCACTCTCAAGATACTATATTGTACTCACCATTCCTATGATGTAAAATTGTGTCTCTGTGATGACATGAAAGTGAGGTGAGTGACCAAGTATTTGCCTACTACATATGGGTTACTTAGATACAAGCTCCATGATACTTCAAAGGCCAATCTAACATCCCAGACAACTGCAAAGTGACCAAAATAGCATATATACTCTGCATGTACTGACAAAAAGATTGTATATAGCCCAGGCAAAACAGAGTGTGAAGCCATGAAATTTCAGTATGCCACGCAGAATAAAACACAATTTAAAACGTATCAGTTGCTTGTTTCTGATACACATGTTGAAGCTACAGATTGATACGAAGGCCTCATCTGTGCTGTGCTAGCACTGTACTGGTAAGCTGCACCCGTAGTGCATCAATTTGATATCTGCATCCCACTATTAAACATGGAAACTGAAACTGGGTAGCAAAACCAGGGATGAGGGCAACTACTGCACTGACTCAGTCTTGTGATGCAGACATCACTACTGGCACCATTGTGACCACCAGAAGTGCTTTGTAGTAAGATGCTTTTGACTCTAGGACTTCCTACCAGGGAAGTTCAGTCAATGCTGTGCTCAGAGGCCAGCTAATGGTTATACTACCAACAATACAGTACGCCTTTTTCACATTTTCATCTGATGCTTGCTTAACTTTAAAGGGTCTCATGGCAGACCCTTTAAAGTTTATAGGCAGCTAAGTCTAGCCTGCTTTTTCTCTCCCCTTTTGCCTTTTTTAAGTTGATGTGTTTGCTCAGGAAACCTTGACATTGATTGTTTATGTACACATAAAAAGTTTGTGTGACATACTGTATACCTCTGGCCATGTGTATGGCTATCAAAGAGGAGGCCTTGAATGGAAATTTCAGGATATAACTTGGTACAGAATGTGCTAGTTAAATCGTGGACTTCTTGTTCATTTTTTTTTTTTACTCCAGTTCTGCAAAGGGACGTCACCTTCATCCTGTTTACTGGGTATTAACTGTATTTTATTCTAAGGTCCATGAGGATAAATTTCAAGTGTGCCAACAGATCAATCCTAGGACAGTTACAAAATAAAATAAGATATTCTCTTGGCACAATTCAAAGCAAGTACTTGGGGGCTCTTGAGTGACTAAATCAGCAATAAGATTATGACACTGGGAATGAAGTGGAGACAGTGAAAGGCACCCTTAAAGAACAGAGAGCTTTGTGGTCTGGCTAGCAAGGAGTAAGGTAGCATGAAGATAGAGGGTGCACCAGGGGCACCTCGCTGTTGAGACCCAGCACCACTCAGCTCACTCAGCAAGGGCCTTTTCCCAGTAGAAAAGGGAGTGGTTGGGTAGAAGCCTAGGCCTCCTCTACAGTAGTGGTTGAAGCTGTGTAAGAGGCGGTCACAAAGGAAGACAGAGTAAACATGGGAAGCAAGATGTCATACATCTTGAGAAAGCTCACACCAAGGCGACCGTAGAGGAGAATGAGGTCAGCAGAGCATCTAAGAGCTCAAGTCATTTGTGCTGAGGAAGCTTTCAATGATGTGGTGGTGTGGGTAATGCTACCAGGATCTGCCTCTGCTGATGTCTGCTCTTTTGTTTGCACATGTACTTCTCTGTAAAAGATTCTCAGTGTCCCTATTTCTTGTCTTCAGGAAAAATCTTGATAAGATCAGAGCTAAGAGTCACGCAGATCTGCCACTGATAGGATCAGTGGACCTGTCCTTAGAGTCCTGGCAGAAGTGATGGAATGATTTTGTGTTTTATTTACTAACAATAACATATAACTTTCATAAACCTTGTAAAAGCTCAGTAAAAACCAGAGAAGCGTCAGATGTCTGTACTCTCATGGCATCAGCATAAATCTTTAGCATGCGGCTTAGCTGCAAACTTATGGTAAGGGATAGACATGCTAACATCAGCTTTTATATCCCCAAATTGTGTATTTTTTTTCCTTCAAATCACCTTCGCCTAGACAGCAGGTGCATTAATGGTTGTGCAACTTTGGGGAGTCCCTTTAGGGAATTTCCTGTTTTTCTTTTTACATTTCACACCCATCCCTTGCTCCCGCCGCTACCATCTGCTATCTTTTTTCTCCTGTTCAGCATTGGCTTCTTCACACCCCACTCCCACGCCCTCTTCCATTTCTCTCCGTCTGTCCAACAACCCTCTACTTAGATTGCTCTGATGCTTGTACATGGATCAAGAGAACTTTTGCTAGCAAGCAATTCACTAAGCCCAAGGGGGACACAATTTGCCAAGCCTTGCACCAAGACCTCTGTGAACTTAACACAGTAAGTGTGCTCTAGACAGCAGCAGTACAGGTTTGGGGAGCATTCACCAGACTCAAATGCTTCTGTAATAACACGCGGAGCTCTGTATTTCTGCATGCATGTTCAAGGTGTGTAGAGAAGAAAAATTGTGCCATGTTAAACTTAATTGCCCTGCTGTCTTTACAACCATAGAAGAAAATATACTCATCTTGAAATTAAACTACAAATTTAAGTATGGATCTTGAATGCCATTCTCTGAGTGGTATACTGCCCAGCAGTGATACTTCCCATTGGCGAATGCCATCCACTAAGCAATTTGCTGCCTGACAATGACACTTTCCATTTAAATTAACATTAAAATCCAGTCCTTAAAACCTGTAGGTGCCCAAAGCCTGAGAGCTACACATGGCCAAGGTAGCTATGATACAATCCAACACAGAATTGCAAACTTGTACTCTTAAACCATGATGAGATGAGAGCAGAGTAACTTGATTATGTAATTCTCAAACATGAACTTTGTAGGTCCATGATATTGTTTCATAATGTCAAAAAGTTAGACGTGTAGTAGCATATTTTAATCCCAGCACTCGGGAGGCAGAGGCAGACGGATCTCTGTGAGTTCGAAGCCAGCCTGGTCTACAGAGTGAGTTCCAGGACAGCCTCCAAAACAATACAGAGAAACCCTGTCTCAAAAAAACAAAAAACGAAACAAACAAACAAACAAACAAACAAACCATTACAAAGCAGTAAAGCAATTCATTGTGCAGCCTTAACTATGTGAAATGTTTCCATGGTATAACATTCTAAAGTACAATACTGATAAAATATGTGCCATTAATATGCTAGCCACATCAGCTGCAGAGACTAAGCTGTTCATTGCATGGTGTGAGTCTAAATATCTAGTGTTGTATCTCAGTAAGTCATTATTTTATCCCATTGCCTGTTTTCAGGTGATCTTAAAGCACATGTAATTTATGCTCTGATCATTTTTTGCTGTGCTGATTTTTGTCTCAGAGACTCCTTATGTAGTGTAGACTGGCCTTGAACTCAGCCCTCCTGCCATGGCCTCCTATGTTCTGGGGTTATGGGCATGCTTCACCACACCCAACTCTGAACATTTTTAAAGGAAGCACTTTTTTCCAAAGTAATTTCTGTTGTTTACCAGTTATTTAAAGTAAAAAGGTAGAACATGAAAGTATCACCAGTAGTTATGTTAAATAAGATACCCTGCACTCTTAGTGGAAGTGGGTTAATTGATCTGTAATCATGTCTCCTACCTCTGTGTCCCTCCATCATGTACTCACTGTGTATCCAGAGAAGGGCTGAGGTGAGAGATTTGGGGTACAGACACTGGGGATGTAGGTGCCATTTATGTTGTAGGTAAACACACTTCAGTTTTAAATGCTGGTGTCTGTTGTAGGATATAGAAGCTGCAGAGAAGTCCTTAGAGACCAGGCTAAAGCCACAGCCACAGCCTGCGGTCCGTTCTCTTGAGGTAAGACCCCCAGCTAACTCCCAGTAACTGTAAGTTTCCTACAAGTTAAACAAGGGCTATACAGCTGTATTGCCCAGGTTTATTTTGTCAGTAAAATAAACAAGAAGGGTTTGGCTAATATTTTTATGTCCTTAGTACAATGTTTTATATACAGCTGGTAATTAAAGCTTATCTTGATGAAAAAATGTATCTAATCTACATCCAGTTTTGTGTGTATGTATGTGTATGCATGTGTGCAGCACATGTACATATGCAAGTGCACATGCATGCACACATGTTGCGGTACATATGTGGAGGTCAGAGACTACCTTCAAGAGCTGTTTCTCTCTTTCCATCATATGTATTCTTGGGATCAGACTCAGGTCATCAGGCTCAATGGCAAGTGTATTAACCTGCTAAGCCATCAGTTCTCTAATGGAATGATGTCTGAAATACTCAGTCATATATACAGATCTATCTCTATCCCCCTACAGATTCCCCCAACACACACATACCCCCCCCACACCCTTTGTAAAATAATCTATTAAGTCCAGCTAGAGCTGCCTTATGTGCATAGATGTGAGGAATTCACTGGAGTATGGCAAACCTCTCAGTTACCACATCCTCAACAAAGTTAACTCAACAAAGTTAACTCCCTCTACAGTAGTTTTTTTTTTTAAGTGTACCATGGGGCCTAGAGATCATCTACGGCATCTATGCTAAGATTTTGGCTGGCTTGGTCTTATGTAGGTAACCACAGCAGCTATGTGCTCATGACTGTGATAGTCATGTCATGCCCAGAAGACATCATTTCAGAGCACCCATTGCCATGCTCTGACTTCTACATTCTTTCTGCCTCCTTTTCTAATGGAATTGTCCTGCAGAGGTAAACAGTGTCACCCCGAGAAGACATACGAGTTTTTAAATGAAAATTGGGTAGCTTCCTATGAGTCATTGGTAAGGAAGCCTGAGAGGTCTGCAAGACAACAAAGCGTATTACTATTGCCATCACACTTGGTTATCTACCATAAGTGCATGGTAAGACTCTGTTGCTGAAGACACCATACACTTGGTTTCTAGACATAAAGGAATGAATTTCAAACCCTGCTGGGGAGGTTTTGTAGTGTTAGAAGGTGCTGCACGGGCTGCTGGCAGAGAAAAGACATGGATGGTCTTCTCTAGGGCTGAACCTTACATGCTGCAGAACCAATCTGCCAGGCAGGATGTGCCTGTTTCTGCAGTAGTGTCCAGCTGTTACGGGGGCAGCTAACTACTTTCTGATTGGATTTGAGACCTGCTCCAAAGGATGGAATTTCTCACCTAATACCAAAATCCTAGTCAAAGCTCCATGACTATGGAGGTTATAGGCCCTAGAGTATTGTTATTTTACTAAATGTTGTCAAATTGCCTTCCAAATATTTATTCATATACCCGTAGACCTTGACTGTGGTTATTCTTGGTCAGAGAAACTTCTTTCTGCAGTGGGCAGCAGTCAGTGCAGAAGCAGGACAGATCACAGTGCTGAGAATGAGAGACTCAGTGCTCATCCGTAACTGGGACATCAGTATTAACCAAGGCTCAGGGAATATAGAATGGAAATGTTATAAAATATCTTGTCTTGTCACATTGAAACAACTGCCCTATTAAATATGCAGTGACTCCTGAGTGACAGCATGCCCAACCAAGGAGTGCTTGTTGGAAACATAAGGAGCCCCTTGCCTAAGATGTGACCAAAGCTGCATTACTAGTACAACCGGTGGAAGACTGAGGCAGGAGACTTCTGTGAGTCTACATAGCGAGAGAATTAAAAAAGGAAGATTTAAAAAAAGGAGGAAATAAATGTCTAAATGTTTATCACCGTGCTTACCATACAGTGCAAACAGTTTTATTAGCTCAGTTTCCAGAAGCAGATTGGGGAGATGGTTAGCAAAAGGGAGCCACACTTAGTTTATGGATGTTTGTGTTGGGTGGGAATCCACTACATATAGAATAGTTTCATTTTCTACTTCTAATGAGCTTTCTCAGATGTCATTTTCCTTTTTGCCCAACTGGGGATAAGAATAGATTCAAAAGTGAGGCTGAGAATCTGCCCCTCAATTTTCTGTGTCATTTAGGGTAACAAGAAAAAGCAGTGATCAAATGCAGAAAAACTCTGGCACAAAACTGCATTGGGTATGCCCTCCTTTGTTGAATTCACCAATGCCTTATTTTAGCACATACAGGGTCCACACAATAGTGGTTAATTCAGCCGTGAATGGCACAGAAGCCCTCCTGTCTCTGGCCTTGGATGTATTCTGAGTTTTTCTGGCACAGCAGGATAACCGTTATCTTAAGTATGTCAGACTGTTTCTGAGACCACATGCACAGATGTATAGATATTTAGAGTCTCTCACACCATGTCCAAATAGCAGAACCACTGTATGCATTCCTGTTGTATCTGACTAAGAGCAGAATTACCCCCAAAAAACTGATCATGTTGATCCAGCAGAAAATGGCATCCTGTGGTGTAAACTTTGGCCTCCTTGGCAGTCACTCCAAGCCCATCAAAGCTCCTCCACACAGTGTAGCAGTACTCCTTGAATTTCTAAAGCCTATAGACCACAACAGACATATACAGCATCTCGACTTCATTTCCATCATTCCATCAAGATGGGTACTCTGTGTTAGCTATTTTCTCACTTAAAAGTCTGAAGAGCTGGAGAGCACTTGCTGCAGACGCATGAAGACCTAAGTTTGAATCCCAGCACCCACCTAAAAAGCCCTGCATGCCTGTAACCTAGAGTTGCAGGGGTGAGATATGGGAGGATCACCACTGAGGTTTGCTGGCTGCCAGACTAAGTTCAGGACCAGAGAGGCGCTGTCTCAAAGGAATAAGGCAGAGAGTGATAGAGGGGGCCTCCTGTGTGGGCATACATGTGCACGTACAGCACACACATACACCACATTTGTACACATGCACACAACTTTAAGAAAAATGACTATTTGTCATGTCAAGTATTCTTTTAAAAGATAGGTGGATATATAACATCCCATGCACCCGAGAAGCCAACTTAGGAGCTCTGTACATTTTAGTTACATTTCTATTCTTGGATCCAGGTCATAGCATCCCCTGTGAGTTCTTTTGTGGTCATTTCCATATGGATAATCCAGGTTATGGAATCTAGAAGAGTAAGCAAAATATTTAATAACAGGTACTAAAAATGACAGTACTGTTAATAATCACAAAGCTGGCCACAAGAGGGCGTGTAAAATCACAATAAAACTTAAAACCTTAATTCTACCAGGCTCTGGTTTGCTGAGAAATTTAAAAATTAACCCTGGTAAGTAGCCAGGGTTCTTTTTTTCCTTAAAATTAGCATAAAATGTTCTGCAGAGGAAATGTATTCTACATATATGTATGTGAGAGTACATACATGCACACATACACACTGAAGATAATAAACATTTAGATTATGATGGAGAGCCTAGTTGAAAGGCTTGCTATGCTTTCTTACTTTGTTTTGTTGTTGGTTTTTTTTTCCAGATTCGTTACTGGGCATCAGTAGAAGAACATGTCCCCAAGTGGGAACAGTTCCTTTTAGGAAGAGCACCATATCCAATTGGTGGTGAAAATCAAAATGAGGCAGGATACACCATTCAAAACAAGGCAAAGTGATAACTTCTTCATTATGTTGCTCAGAAAACAAAAAATAAAAGATAACTATCTGATAAAACTAGTCACGGCAGGGACTTTAGGGAATAAATGTGCTTTGTTTCATTGCAATGTCAGTGTGAGATTCCACTGAAAAGTCTCAGGTTAGACTAGTTCAGGGTTTAGATATGCCAATGAAAGTGTTAAAAACAAATGCTAAGATAGAGTGTTTGTTAATGATGTATTAGATCAGTGTTGTGTGTGTTTAAAACATTTACCCTTATTACACCCTTGTCTAGTTCGCTTACAGGGATAAAAGTCTGCCTTGTTTAGCTGTTCCTGTCCGGTATGGTTATCAGAAAATGGATCCACAGGACTGGGTTCCTCCTCTGAGATTTTTATCTACAAAGGATTCAATATATGGTCGGTTTCAGGACTGCTCTGTATGGTTTTTAAAAAGACCTATGATAGCTGGAAATGGCTACTGAACTCTGACTGACTTGAAGACTCCCATCCTTGTGAAAACAAATAACCTCACCATCAGTGTTATTTCTCAACTTGCCCTCCCCTCTCCTTTCTACCAACATTCTCTTTAAATGTAAAAATATTCTAACTGTGGAGGCAGCTTCTGGGGAGGTACTGCAGTGAACTATTCTGAATTGCAAACCTGTGGTTTTGTTGTCATGTCTCAAAGATTATTCTTCCTTATATTTTGTGTTGTCTTTAAGACAGAGTTTCACTCTATAGCCCAAGCTGGTCTTAAAGTCACAGCCATCCTCCTGCTTCAGCTTCTGAGCACTGAGATTACAGGTATGAGCCCCCACACTCAGGTCACGTGTATTTTTAAAGTAGACAATGGGCTGAGTTAAAACTCACACAAGCCCTCACTATAACAAAAATCTAGTCATGCATCTACTGTGCAACACGCCCCTTGTTCACTGCCATCTTGGGAAGTCCTGTTGAGTGGGGGTTGGTGTGGGTAACAATAACATTGTTTTCATAATATGTGCTGGCAGATTAGCACACTTCTCTGCAGTGTTAACAGTTGTAATTAAGGAATAAACAGCACAGGGTGTCAGTCCGATGACAATTTCATCTATAGTGTCACAATACAAAATGTCACAAAATATTAGAGCTGTTATATAGCTATGAAAAGTACCGGCTTAAAGCTGAAGGCATCTTTAAGAGAGAAGACAGAGGAAGGGGGAAATAGGAAGGCTGACTTAGCGGCCAGACAATTTTATACATTCTCAAGACTGTCATGAAAACAAATTGATAATTTTTTCTGTTACATTACAGTTTGGGCTCCAGCCATCCAGTTGATTTAGCAGAAAAATGCAGGTTTCTTAGCAGCTCCAAATTGGTAAACAGATTTAAATGTAGGAAGGAACATGAGGAAGGTTTTTTAAAAAAAAAAATCCAGTCTCCCAGCATATGCACATAAGAAGGTGAATGAAGCAATGTGAAACTTATTTCTCTTAGTCAAGTGAAAAAAAGGCTAAACATTTGTTAGCTAGTAAAATATTGTGTCAAGTAAGTAGGAGCATTCCAAAATTAAACAGTGGTTGATACATTACCGTCCTCACATATTTGAGTGTACACTTCCTTTGAGATCTGTAAATTAAATCACCAGTAGGTTGAATTAAAATACAAAATGAGTGGCAACATAACCCTCCCAGAAAGGCTCTGTTGGTTCTCCCTACATTGACTGACTGGCTAGTTTGGTGTAGGATTTTTTGTTTGTTTGTTTTGTTTTTAGATAAGCTAATAACCCTTACACAAGTTAGGGCAAGAAGAAGGTGTTTAGGACAGCAGCTGAACCGTTTCCCATTTTGGTTAATACTTCATAAATTCCCACAGATGACTTTATTCTTGTCCCTTGCTGAGCCACCCAGCCCACCCTGCCTTGGAGACTGTAACAGATTGCACCACATGGTGTCTGTTAAAAAAAATCCCGTGGGTTCTGGATATCCCATTCAAGGGCTTTATATTTCTCATGGCAAATTAGCTTAACACAGGAATTTCCAAACATCATTTAGTGGGAGGAAGGAAGAGATGCTACATACAATGTATCTCTTTCTACAGCTAGGAACTGTTATAAGAGGAGACATCTACTCATACCTTCCTCCCCCAGATCAATGCTTTTTAGATTTTTATTTTAGTTATGTGTATGTGGGAGGGGGTGCATGTGTGCAGGTGCCAAGTAGGTCAGAGACCTTGGACCCCCCACCCCTTGGAGCTAGAGTTACAGGCAGTTACAAGATCTGCCCAACATGGGTGCTCAGAAAAGAATTCTGGTCTTTTGCAAAAGCAGTAGGCCCTCTGAACTGCTGAGCCATGTTTCAGCCAACCAAATTAATATCTTAATCAGAATAGAATTCTCCATGAACATAATGGATTTGGTTTTTTGTTGTTGGTTTCTGTTTATTATTAGAATACTAGTGTTTACAGGGAAATTGTTGGCCATTAATGTATTTTTCCTTAAAGATCAGAGAGTTCCCTCAAAGCCTTTCTAGGCTTGTTTGCAGCATAGATATTCAAAGCTCACTTTCTGCTGGGATATTTCTGGTTATGAAATCGCCAAACTATAAAATGCTAAAATCAAAAGGAACTTTATAGTTTCTTCATACTTAAAAAAAATGGAGTTGGAGAGCCGGGAGTTGGTGGCGCACGCCTTTAATCCCAGCACTCGGGAGGCAGAGGCAGGCGGATCTCTGTGAGTTCGAGGCCAGCCTGGTCTACAAAGTGAGTTCCAGGACAGCCTCCAAAGCCACAGAGAAACCCTGTCTCGAAAAACCAAAAAAAATGGGGTTGGAGAGATGGCTCAGCAGTTAAGAACACTTGTTGCTCTTGCAGAAGGCCTGGGTTTGGTTCCCAGCACCCACATAGTGGCTCATTAACTAAGCATGACTCCTGGTTCAGAGAATCCGATGTCTCTTCCGACCTCCACAGGCACCAGCCATGAATGTGGTGCACATACTTGTGTTCAGGCAAAACACCCATACACAAAAGACAAAATGAGTAAATCTAAAAGAAAGCTCGTGAATTATAAATACAAGGAAAAATACCAAATCAATATCTTAATCAAAATAGAATTCTCCATGAATATAACATAATGGATTTGCTTTTTCATTGTTGGTTTCTGTTTATTTTTAGAATACTAGTGTTTAGAATACTAGAGGACTAGGCATCTGGTCCTCTGTCAAGAGAGCAGTGGCTGGTGGCAGTCTCCTGGACACAGTTCTGCCTCTGCCACCGCAGGGATGCTTTAACTTCTCAGCTTATGGAGAAACTTGACTTTGTTTCCAATCTTGGCCTCTGCCTCATTCTTCTGACCCACCCGTTAGAATAAATAAAGTGAGCATGGGGACATATTTATGCTTGAATAAAATTTAAACTTCTATTTTATCACTTCTTGTGTGACTGGAGCTGTGTGTGTATAAAGTTACCAACTTCAGAAGTAAGGACCAGACTTGAAAATCTGTGTGACACACATTCTGATACATAAAACTTAACATAGAAGACCATGAAGCTGGCTTCTTTACAAGACAGAATCTTCACTTTCCTTCCCTGCTATATTAATTTACTCCAAGCCAATTCATATCATTTAATCTATTTAAGGAAGTCTTTTACTTAAAACAAAACCAAGTTTTCAGCTCACCCTTCCGATTTTTCCTACTTTCAAGAATTGCCCAAAGCGGCTTTTAAACACTTTCTAGAAATCACCTGTATTGTTCTTCTTTAATTGTGATACCGAGATAGCTTTAAGAGTTGCAGAGCAAATCTGCCATTCTGAGTAGGTAATAACCAGGTGGTGATGCCAGCAGGAGTGGAAGAGACTGAGGAAACAGAAAAGGAAAGATGCTTTTTGGCAAAGCTTTGGGCTGGAGTGAGAGGGCTCCACCCTACCCCTCTGTGTGGTGTTTGTATCCCATTTAGTTTAGAAGTTAATTTGGCTACATGGGAAATTCAATTCCTCATTGCTAATAAAGAGTTTTTTGAAAGGAACATGCAGATGTGTCAACCTTTGGCAATTCAGGAGAGGATTGATGTGGGGATTTGACAGCTGGCTTTGTGAGCACCCTCTCTAATGGAACTGAGATCATATCCTTACCAAAATCCAAGAAAGGAAAGCAGCTCCCACAAAGCCAGAGGCTAAGAATATTTCCGGACGTCATCTAACCATAGAGTTGAGTTTCCTGCTTCCTCTTAAGTTACAGTGATGAGGGGCTCTTGCATTTCTGGAAACTCGAATTCGTCTATCAGACAAAGGCAGAGAGGAAGGCTCTGTGAAAGTATTAATAGCATGTAGTTTAACTGCAGTAAAAACTGTGGTACTGAGAGAAAATCCTAAAATATACTTATCTGAGGAAGTGGCACTTAACACTTCAGTCTTAGGAATAGTGGTCATTTAACCTCTACTCTCAGGTTCAACGTGTTTTTCATTATTCCTCCTTTAGTTTTCCTTAAAGTAGAAATTTTTTTCAATTTGTTTTTATTTTAAAGAGCTTGTTTTACATGTCAATCCCAGTTCCCTCTCCCTCCCCTCCTCCCCCACTCCCCTTTCCCCTCACCCTCCCACCCTATTGCCATTTCCTTCCACATAGGGGATATCAGAGTCTGTCATTAAAGTAGAAATTTTTTTTTGATATTTTACAGAACGCAACTTTAGAAACAATATAGCCAAAAGGGAAGTTAAAAAAAGATTCCATTTGTGTCTTTTGTTTAGCATATATCTATTTTAATCTCATCTCCCAATACCATGTAATTATTTTTCACATCTGATTCCAGATACTTAAAAAGTCTATAACACATTTGGTACTAGAGTGCGCTGTCACAGACAAAGATGCTAAAGACCCTGAGCCCTTTGAAATGCTTACTTCATTAGTAAAAACCAAATACACATAAGCAAGGTTCATGCCTTCTAGAGTGAAGTACAGGCAAGTATTGCCCAACATAGGTTTCAGTGGCTAATGGATCGCATCCATGATGGTATTCCCTTATGCATCTCATGTTTACTACTCCTCATTGCCTCATTTGCTCATGGGCCAGATTAATCCCATGTTCGTCATGGGATTCATTTATCATGGCCATAGGCTACCCTACACATGTATCATATAGCCTAGAGGGTAGGAGGCTAAACCATCTAGGTGTGTGGAGGCATACTCCTTGATCCTCACACAACTAAATAGTCTGACACAGCACCATCGCTGAGCAAAGTGTGGCAGTTTAAGCAATCCTGCTTTTAAAAGGCTGGTGTTGTAGACATGTCTAAAAACTCCTTCAAAGTCTCTTGTCCCGGGTCTGCCACCAACAATTCCTGGGTGAGCTGAGTTAGAGCTGCAGTGTCCTGCAGAGCCTTCTACAATGCTGAGGATGCTAAACTCAGCTGTGTCCAGTATCGCAACACCTGGTCCTGCATGGCTCCTGAGCACTGGAGATATGTCTCATGCATATTTGACTTTCACCTATTATTTTAAGAACTGTTAATGAAAATTAAGTACTTTTTCAACTAAATCTTATAAAACTACCACTAATGAAAACGTGGCTTTTGATGGAGTCTGCTACAAGTATAAGATACATACTAGAGTTCAAAAGCTGTATAAGCATGATAATATGCTGGTTAATTTTTTATTGATTGCACATTGAACTATTCTTAATGGAACAAATTACCAAGATAATTTTACCTTAAACAAACAAAAAAAACTTTAATCACTGTGCAGTGGTGGTGTATGCCTTTAGTCCCAGCACTCAGAAGGCAGAAGCTACAGAGCTAATTCCAGGACAGCCAGGGGTATACAGAGAAACCCTGTCTTGGAAAAAACAAAAACAAAAAACAACAAAAACTTTTTATCAAGTATCCCCTAGAAAATTCAAAATTTTACCTGTGACTTACATATTACACTGAGCACCATTAAACTAGACATTTCCTAAGTGCTTTTGCAATTCTGAGCCTAACTTTGTAATTATTTAACAACTCTATTATGTAATTATAAAGCCAATAACTAATAAATTTGTGGGGGGGAAACTAGATAAATAATTGAGATTTTCAAGCTTCACTTCCAAAGAATGGAAAAGAAAAATTGTGAGGAGCTAATGGGTAGTGGTTTTATTGTTGGTATTTTATTTTACTTTCATTTTTTAAATACTTCATTGAACTTTATTTTATGTGCATTGGTGTAAGGATGCCGGATTCCCTGGAACCGGAGTTACAGACAGGTCCTCTGGAAGAACAGTCAGTGCTCTCAACCACTGAGCCATCTCTCCAGCCCCCGGTTTGGTTTTTTAAGAAGGATGTCATGTATTCTAGGCTGGCTTCTAATTTACTAGGTAGCCAAGTATGACCTTAAACTTCCTGTTCTCATCTGTGCAAATCCTTAGTGCTGGAATTACAGCCATACACCAAAATGCCCAGTTTATATTGTGCTAATTATCAAATCTAGAGCTTTGTACAGCCGGCAAGAACTCTACCTAGTGATCTCCCCAGCCTGTTAAGTAGTAGGTGTTTCTAAGAATTGTGTCTTTAGAGTTACAGTCAGACCTGTGTTCATTTTTAGAATCCCAAGTCCAAGCTTGATGCCTAGA